AGCTCCATCTTGCCGGCTCGGGTAGCCGATCACAGCGCAGGATTTGATTCATCTTGCCCGCTCACGGAGCTAGCCATATATTAAAAAGGTCTATTACACATCTAAAGCCACAAGAAAAAGTTCATATTAATTTGAACAAAGTTGTTTGAACTCCTCAACAGAAGACGCACAGAAGGACAGGAGAAATAAGGAAGGCATCTTCTTCTCTTTTGGAGATTCGGTTTCGAACGTGTTTTGCAGCTCCCTGTCTTCCGGTCCTTACAAGAGTCTTTGCAAAACGGTATTTACAGCCTGTCAGCCTATCTATCACTGGGTATACGACATGCACGGTTACTGGGGCGACGGTGTCACGTCACCAAGGGAACCCTTACCGGATGGAATTGATTATGACCACGATCGAGTTATAAGAGACATCAAAATGGCAAGTCCTAGCTTTCTGTTCTCCACTCCCTTTCTGAATTTATGTACTTTTTTGGGTCCTTTCCTACTTCATGTAAATTACAAATTATGTCACTTGAATTTTTGGCGCTAAAATTGTCACGGGTCTTGATACACCAATTACAATCTAGGGTGTATGAATCACAGGGGAGTTTGGACCCCACCATACTAATGCGTTTTGAAAAGTCTCCGTTTTCATTTAGAAGAAACCGAAGCAAAATATTTTCGCCCACACTAGCGTTTTCGTTTTGTTTTCACCTGTCCACACTGATGCATTTTAATTCGAAAACGGAGACTTGACGCGTTTTCGCCTATCATCCACATTGACTAAAACGTCCGAAAACGCTGATGGAAGCAACAGTGGAGGACGCCTTTTTTCGCCACCGTTTTCAAAAGCCTACGTTTTCACCTGTCCACTCCACACTAAAAACAGAACATTTCCAAAACGATGCGTTTGCAAAAGACTTCACTTTCGAAACCGTTTTCAATAACCTCCGTTTTCATCAACGTTTTTCGTCGTTATAATGTGGATGACGGACGAAAACTTATCAAAAATTTTGCGTTTTCAAATGAAAACGCATTAGTGTGTTCGGGGCCTAATTCTCGTGATTAAAGCCGCAAAACTGTAAAAAAAAAAAAAAAAAGGCTCACAGAAGCAGAAGATGTTGGCGGCCAAATGTTAACTCAAAGAACTTGTAAAGAAATTAGGATTAAAATGTTAGGATTTCATCCCGCAGAATTTTTATTATGTAACCGTGTACGATTGCCGATGTACATGTAACAATATAGGCCTAGTAGTCAACTCTGTTTCGTGCAATTTTCAAACGAAAGCAACGGTCTCAGCAGGAGTCTCAGGACGAGGCCGCGAAACAGTAGAAGTACTTGAGTTTATAGCATTGATTGTAACATCCGGTTTTTAAGGCTACGCATAATGCCCGCCGTGAGAGTACCCTCGCTTTACTCTGCTGATATCCTTATATAATCAGCATAGTTATAAGATACTGTTCCACGTAATTTGGAATTGTTTGATCGTCAGTTTCACTTGCCTTTCTTATTGCAGACATTGTATAATCCTTTCCTGGATGAAAAGAGTGTCCTTCTACTAAACATGGGAATACATTTCGCCGCTGCAGTCAACTTTACAAACTATAAACGTATCATCGATCAATTAATTAGCCTCGTGAACGAAGGCAAAAGTCACAGAAACACTGTCAACGATACCAAGACTTTCAAAGGAAGGTTCATCTGGAAGACCTCGACTGCTCTTAACAGGGAGCGATTTCCAAACCCGCATAAAGACGTTCGCCGATTTTTAACATTCCCACGTGTGCAACTGTACAATGCTTACGCCACATCTGCCATGTGCCGCGCAGGTATTGACGTCATGGACGTTTATCCAATCAGCGATTCGTATCCTGCCGGGACTTGGTCACAAACTGATCCAGTACATTACGCCGCTCACGTGTTTCGCGATGTCGAGGAATTTTTGTATAAAATGTTTGCTCCTTAAGAGAGTTTGGTCTTATTAATTGAACAGAATTTAGCTATTCCGTGTAACCTAGTAAACAGGTAGTTTCTCTAAGCGGTAAATTCACTTTCTTCTCGCTTGAGATACAAGTGTGATTTTTAGCTGGTGACATAACTGACTAGTCCCCAGTCGTCTTCTTACAACTTTATGCAGCGCGCGAAGACGACTTGGGAACGAGTCAGGTGACATAACCCTTTGCATCTCTGTGATGGTCCGTGAAGACTTCGCCAAGCACGTTCGTTTATTTAATTTTATATTTTTCCCTTATTTCCTTGAGCGTGTCACGATAGCCGCACAAATGGGAAAATGACCGTGCGAGGGCGGAAAAGCGAGAAAAAAGAGTGTCCATCTGCCGTTCTTTCTTTTTTTTCTTTTCTCGCTCTTTCTCGATCATCTTCTCCACATGGCCATTTTTACACGTAAAATGACGAAGTCATTTCTGAGTAGCGCGCAAGGCTTCACGCTGACTAATCATGTACTCACGTCCCAGACTACTACCCTCGCTGCATTCCAGCTGCTCCAGCCTACTGTCATAGGCGTTTGGGCACTTTCGGACTTAATTGGGGGGCGGTGACCTTCTTGCCGGAAAATTTACGCAATGCCCGAAGGCATAAAAAAAAAAAAAAAAAAAAANCGAATGCGAGAGTGTTGAAGTCGGGATGCAAATGCACTCAAATTGCATGAAGAACAAAAATGTTTACAATTCCCACATCTAATGAAACTGCTATAATTCCAAAAATATTTCTATTCAAATCTTGCGTACTCACTCAATCAATCATTCCCTATCAACAGTCTCAATCCGAATAAAATCTCAGTAAAGTAACTAACTAGATATGAACTTTATTCATGAGTTTTGGAAATCACGCCAACAGCATTCTTAATGCTTTCTCTCATGTGTCGTTGCCCAAATCATGAGCATTTTGCCCGAAAATCACATAATTTCTGTAGCTGGGGGTGCAGCCCCCCTCGCCCTCGCCCCCCCCCCTCCCCTCACCCCAGCTCGTACGCCTATGCCTACTGTGTTTCGCTCCTTTATACAGTATCAGCTAAGGTGATTGATGTTGGCTAACTCTGAATTTCCTTGTTGAGATTGTGTACGGTAAATAACTCACAATCTTCTCTTTTGTTCCACAAAATGTGTAAAATTAAATTTTCGAAACTAAAATAAACAAATATAAACTGGTATCAGCTCGAAATATGAAAAATTATTATTGAGGATAGGGGAGTCGGTAGCGGAGGGGTAGGGAGCGTTGGGTTTTCATTCAACTGATTACAATGAGTGCAGGCTCCTCTTCTTTCCCACAAATTGCGCCACGTCGCTTTACAGCAGTCTGTTTTTCAACACAAACATGGACGATTTAAACGATGAATGCCAGGTAATTCATTGCGTCTCCTATTTTGATCCCCGATTTCTTCAACATCTGAGGTGTTCGTCTGAGCATCATACAGTTGCTTGTTAAGTCAGTAACCATAGTTTTGTCACTGTTGCGTCCTCATGCTGTTATTTATTATCCCCAGTTTTCGCGCTGCTCCCCTAGGAGCGCCTGGCACTATGACCCACCAAGTGCAGACTCGGTTTTTCCGAAAGTCCGAGTAACAAGCAAGCTATTATTAACTAGTAGTAATCAAAGATTAGATCAGCGCGTTCACGCGCGTATTTCGCACTGGTCTACTTTGGTGGCATTCGAATGGCTCGATGGAAAACTAAGTTTGATCGAATATCAGATAACGATCTGCACGTGAAGTTGAACTAGCGGTAAAAGTATTTTCAATTAATTAACTATTACTTGTACTGGACAAAGCATTTTCTAGGAAATGCGTTTGAACTGTTGGCGACACTTAGAATTCAATTTCAGATCGCCAACACCTGTAACAAATATTTCTTGAGACAATAAAGTTTTCAACAGCGACCCTGCAAGACAGCGCGCGCGTCGCCAATTCTGTGTTTGTATTTGTTTACACTGTCATCAGAGCTCGAGCAGTTCGAACATTGTAGTTTAGACAAGAAACTCAATGCCGAAGAGTTTCTTTTTCTATCTCATGGAGAAACTATTTCTTCATGAGAAATCGTGTTCACGCATATCTTTGTGTCGACGTAATGAATTGAATAAAGAAATCACACTCGTGTACCCATATTTTTCGGTCTGATTAAGGAGTTCGAACGCCACCACCTTGGATTTCTGTGAAGAACGACATCTGGGAATAAAGGACAGTCAGGTGATTAGACTGACGGCGAACGACTGGAAGAAATGGATTACTCTTCTTAGTTGTTAGCCTTCACTCATTGCAGTCACTTTCATTTTACTTTCTTTCTTCCTTCTTTTTTGTTGTTTTTGTTTTATTTTTATTTTCCAAGCTGATCTTTATTTTTGTTTGATTTAATTTTTAGATATTTAATTTTACATATTTTTCGCATAATTGTTATAATTATTCGATGTTCCGGGATGTTCCATGTTCCTGGTTTTATCGACGGCCCTCAGTAAGTTGTGAACCATTTGACTTTGGGTTGATTTGGTAGAGGCATTGTTATTTTTGTTTTTAACCCATTCATGCATTTTCGTGCATTTTTAACCATTTCATGGACGGTTCGTATTACTTGCAAACCGTCCTGATAGCATATTCGGGTTAAAAATGTAGATGTTGGTGCAGGACTTTGTTTTTCACGGGGCGTGTGAATACATGATATTTCTTTCTCCATGTAGCATGCTTTCGGCAGTCGTTTTGTGCATATAACAATGAAGCAAGACCGATTATAACGTAGAAAACTCAATAACGCGATCGACATGATAGAGTCCAAACTGAAAGCCAAGAATTGCAACCGTGAGCAGCTGGTTCGACCTTGTTGGGTCCCGTCATAACGGCCGGTAGCAGCAAAAAATAAAGCATTTATCACAGTGACCTCATCTTGGTCGATGTCACATGCAAAACGCGTGACCGTGAATATCGCGGTGAACGTGAATCACGCGGTAAACGCGTGACCGTGAGTATCATATCGATGTCGCGATAAGGAGATTACGGACAGACAAAAACTGTGAATTTTTTTCGGTACAAGTATGCTTGAAGGAGACTACTTTTTCTTTTCAAATCGCCCATTCCCCCTGAAAAGTCAAATGTTCACTCGCGAGGACACTTTGGGCTCGTCACGCAATCTTTCCTCTTGACGTGGAACATTCTTGTAGACGGGTAACCTGGTAACCACTTCAAATTCAACATGGCGGCCAAACCTCGGGTCCTTATCACCGGAGCTTCTGGCCTCCTTGGACGGGCCATTATGAAGCAATTCTCCAACTCTGATAAGTGGAACGTGTTAGGACTGGCTCACTCTCGAGCCACAGATGTTCTAAAGAAGGTCGATCTGCTTGATTTTGACGAAACAAAGCGTGTTGTGAAGCATTTCAAACCACACATTTTGATTCACGCGGCAGCCGAAAGGAGACCAGACGTTGTCGAAAATGACGAGGAAACTTCCATGAAAATGAATGTTGGTGTGACAAAAACATTAGCATCAGCAATCAACGAGCTTAACAGTGATGCAGGGGCTCCGGAACACTTCATGCTGTATATCAGCACTGATTATGTGTTCGATGGCTCGAGTCCACCGTACAAACCGCTCGACGAAGCCAACCCTTTGAACAAGTATGGCAAGAGTAAGCTGGCAGGAGAACAGGTTATGCAGGCCTGTAATTCCGATGGGGGGATCCTTCGGGTTCCAATCCTTTACGGAAAAGTGGAGTATCTTAAGGAGAGTGCTGTGACAGGTGTGTTATCCCGGGGGAGGTAGGGGGGGGGGG